ATAATAGGGATAGTGAGGATTTTTCACGGCAGAGTAATTCATATGCATCTTTTCTCTCTCTGCAAAGTCCTAGAGGCACGGATCATCCTGGATGTGTTTGTGTCTTGAGGGAAAGGGGGGTCGTTGGTTTTGTTTGTTCCACTTTTTGTTTTCTGTGAAGACTCACACCTTCCTGGGCTGCTGTTGCACTGGCTGCTCCTGTTCTGTGGCTAAAACAGCACTTCAGGCTCTGTCAGTGCTCAACAGCACTTCTAAAATCACTCCAAATCAAATACTGGTATCTCCTTCAGGACTTTTTCCAGGTACTGCTTTGACCCCTCCTCTCCAATGACTGCTGACACCTTTCTTGTTCTGCAATCTCTGCCCAGAGAGAAGTTCTGAAGTGCCAAGTGCTGTGTCTGCAAGGGCTGCTGAAACCAGGGCTGGGAGCCCTCAAACTCCCAACACCTGATTCAGGCTACACCACCTGCTTCCTGCACACTGCCTTGCCCGGCTCCGCCCGGAGCTCTTACTGTCTCTCTGTAGCAATGATCCACTTTATAACTAAGAACGTGGCCTGAAACCACCAGAAATGTCATCCAAGGAACCATTCACCTACCTTTCTCTACAGAGTTTAAAATTAGGGGCTAATCCTACAAAGGATCAGCTTAGTAGGGCCCTCAGACCCTGCTGACCTCTGAGGCTCTGACTGTAGATGTGGAGGTTACTGGGGTCAAACCCCACAGCGAGCACAACCACCTCTGCCTGCAGCCATAGAAGGCTACGGGCCTGTACGGTGCAGGTCAGCTCTTTTGGAAAGATGCTCAAATCTCCCTTTGGAGGGGACATTGAATATGTGATTTCAACATCAGAGAGGGACTACTTCCGAAAACTGAATGAAACCAGCTTTTAACTTCCTCAGCCGATCTAATACCAGGACCTGCCCCACTCTGCTGCTCCTGTCTTTTAGCAGATGACAGATTCTTTGTATAGAATTTTTTTTCGTTGTGGCTTATACTCCTACAAAAGCTTGTTTGTTCATTCAGGTACTGGAATAATTTCCAAACTAAATATTTAACTAAAGCACTGAAACTCCTACCAAGCAATGCCTTGTTTGCATTCCTAACATCTTGGAATATTTTTGGAAGAGGGGGGGCAGTGCTAGTACACAGCTGACAGACATGAGCGATAACCTAGACACTGACGTTCCCATTTGGAAAACAGCGACTGCCATGCTCAGGCTGGAGCTAGGATGCAATCAGGTCAATTCCTCAGGCCGAGTCTTTTAAATATAGCCACTGAGATAAGCCCAATCTTGTTTTTTATACTACCTGCAACAGTTCAAATATACTGTGCCAGGAAAATAGTACATTAAATATCGAGGCTCTGCCTGCAGTGACTTTCTCCTGTGCAGCAGAAGGGTTAGAAAGGAAACAGTCTTGCAGGACTCTTACACTGTTCTGGTTGCTTTTACTCGCTTCTTGTTTGTCAGGTAGGTTTATCCTCCCTGGTTAGACCGAGCAGTCGCTGCCAGTTTTCCAGACAGCTGGAAGATAGTTAACTTTATCTGCACTATTGAAAAACATGAGCCCTGTGTTTTTAATGTCTTTTCTAATGCGGGGACTATCTAGATGTGGCACACCCAGCCAGGACAGATAAGCTGACACTGGCTGGTGCATTTGACCCAACCATCAGCGAAGAAAAGCACTCGCTTAACAGCCCATCCAGATGAAAGGGGAGAGGCTGGTTTGCCTGGTGGCACTGCTTTTGCTTCTCTACCGCGGCAAGAAGCCCCTTGGGTGAAATGCCTCCTCTGCACTGCATTAATTGGGGCAATTCGGAGCTGCAGCCCTCCCTGCCCCTACTGACAGCAACAGCAAGGCACTTCACTCAGCTGGCAAAGGCAGAGGGGTTTTTTTACGTCTGGGACAGTGAGAAACCCAGCAAAACGAGACTTACACCCACAAAACAGCTGAAGGGATTGTGCTGCAGTTGTCTCTAGGGGCCTGACCCTAACGCGGGTTACCCACAGCCCGAGCTCACTCTCTTCCACCGCTGGAACCCGTGTGGGCTGCAAACTCGTCTGCTTATGGCTAAAGCAAAATGAGGCACCTGAAAACACGTTTCTGTGGTTGTGTATTCTGCTGTGAGAACAACCACAAAACCCCCTGGACAGCCAGGGGCTGAGAGGAAAGGGAGAACAAATGAAATCCCAGCAGCTGTTTGGTTTATAAAGGCCTGATTTTCCCAACAGCCTCTGTGCAAAGGAAAACCCTGTTCAGAAAAGTGCTATCACAGGATTTTTCCTTGGGGTGCTTCAGCTGCTTAAGGGCGAGGTGTTAGACGCCTTCCAGCTGCTGGATACCTTCAGACAACCGATTTACACCTGCCCCGAGGAAATGCTGTCACTCACAAAGTGCATCCCGATGGAGGTGGCTGCCGCAGTCTCAATTTCTGTGCCGATGTCCTCGATGAAGGGATATTCGTCCTGGTCATGGACAATGATCTTGGCTCCTGTGGATGTCACCAGGAAGGGGTTGTAATCTGCTTCATCTATATACAGAACGACCTGCAGCCCTGAAGAACAGACACAAAGCAGGAGCAGAGTTACACCGGAAGCCGGAGCCGTTTTTTTTCTGGTCAGGGAGGGCAGTATGGATTATTTCATGTTATCAGGCCTTAAGTAGAACTGTAACAGCCAAGCAAAGCCTTTGCAGTGCCAGACTGAGACACTTGCAGCAAGTACCGTCCCTCTGTGGCCCCAGGTACAGCAAACAAATAAAGTCTCCACAGAACGTGGCTGAAACTTACTTCAAAAAGTTATATAACCGGGAAGCAGTAATTTCAGATGGAAAACACTGGTGGTGCAATGATATTATCTTTGTATTCTCTGGCAATAGTTTGCACTAGTTCAAACAAGCATTTCCCCAATCAGCCTGCACATCTAGAGCCAACACATCAATCACTCTCCAGCAGGATCCAGTTCGCAAAACTAATAGTTCCCCCGTTTCTTACCGTCCTCGCTGCCGCCGGTGGAGGTGCTCAGGATGGTCCCGTTTTCTCCACTGTTGAAGGTGTAGCAATTGCCATGCAGGGGGTGGTGGAAACGAGTGAAGTGCCTGAAAGAAACAGGGAACTGTTGCGTTGCCCTCTGCAGTTTTCACTGTCTGTAGGAGAAACTCAGCAGATTTGAGCTTTTTGTTTTGGCAGCCATCGCAGGACTAGACAGGTTTTTTTGGCAAGCAACTTATTTTACTGAACAGTGTGGGTCTTAACACCCTGAATCCACATGGAAATATTAACAGCAGCAGGAAATTAAAAGTTAAGGTTTTCATGTGGGAATGGGGGCAGGGGAAGCAGATTTACAGAACTAGCAGGACGGTGGCAGTGGAGGGGACAGAGTCCTGCATTCGACAGTCAAGAGTCTAAAGGCACACGGGTCTTTACTTTCCAGAAAAGCTGTTATAGCCACTGTCATGCAGGGGAGGCTGAGGAGACACCCTTGGGATTCAAGCACATTCAGTTTCTTGTGAGCATCCCCTTCCATTCAAGTAAAGGTCTCAATTCCAAGAAAAGATGTCACGCATTCGCACGGTAACAGACAGGAGCAGAACACCTTCAACAGCAAGGGCTGCAGCACAGCTCGCTCTGCAGCAGGGAAACTGCGAAACCCCTGTGCAAGCGTGGGCTCATCCCACCACTGCACCCCCGGAGTGAAGGGATGGCTCCTCTGCTGCCTGGACACACAGGAACTGCACTGCCACAATCGTAAGCAGGTACATCTGATTCTGCCAAAAAACGCCCACGGGTCTATCTGAAACGTGGAGGGCAGAACGCTAAGGCAAACTAAAGAGTGTAATTAAAGTTCATGAAGACGCAAACGTTTGCTTTAATTTTAAAATGGAAACAGTTCCTGCCGGAATTCAGCAAACACCAAATATTCAACTCCTACGTGTTATGTACTTGGAAATATGCTGTTAAGCTGGTGGGTATTTTCTGTGCACTGACCTTTTGTCACAAGATAGGCCATCAAAGAAACATGTCAGTAGAAGGTCATCAGCAGAATAACTCAATTTTTCTTTAGTCTCCAGGGGAATTTGTGCCATGATGTTCATATAATGCAGCTTGTACCATTCTTGGATAGCGTTAACACCCGAACTGAACGTATAAAGTGCACACTCGCTGCTGTTGTTTGCATCGCACTGATAATTACAAAGGGGGAAAAAGCATTTCAGAAGAAATGAAGTCACGTATCCTATGAGGTAAGAGTGATACCCTTTCTTCTCCAGGGTAATAACCACATATGAAGTTACAGCAGCAGAGAGGGGCATCAAGGACTTTTCGTTCAGGGCCGAGTGATGTGATAAAACATTTCAGGCCCAAAGGACAGGTCACGGAAGGCACTGAGGGTATTCGGGTAGGCTTCAGGAAGGTATTTTTCCTCCAGAGAGCTGGAGGTGAATCTGCAGGTAGCCGTGGAGGCACGGCACAACGTGCAGAAGAGCAGATGGAGCATTACTGGCTCTAAGGCCACCTAAGCAAGCAATAAAACCGTCTGGAGGGATACCAACCCAAAACACCCCTTCGTTGCCCCACAAGGAACTTGCTGGCCAGGGACGAGTGACACTCACCAGCTGGAAGCCAATGATATCATTGGAATCCCCAGAGTTCACTATGGACGAATCCTTGTGAAAGACGCTGCCCTCTATTTTCCTCTTCTGGCCGCTGTGAAGGTTGGTCACCGTCCTAGAGAAGTCCTCAAACTTCAGCAGAGGGATCTGTTCGAAGAACTCGCTCCTTGTGCTGTTCCATTCGTCCACCGACCGGCGCACCTTGGACTTGCCCTCTGAAAACCCGTAGAAAGTCTCCAAAGCCTTTTTTGTCTCTTTGTCCAATTCAGATAAATAGTCTTTCATGGAACTGTACCTGCAGGGGAGACAATGTGATAGAGAGTGACATCCCACCTCACCTCACCGCCACGGTGCCCGCTGCGCTACGAATCGTGGCTCAGGACCGAGCGCTCTGTCGTGGGGACTCATGTTGGTCTCTCTTATCCCCACATCAGTTCACAGCAGCGTGGGCAGACAAAGCAAGGACTGGGGAAGCAAAGCAGATTGAACTACAGAGAAAGCCCTCTCAGACTCCTAAGCTCCTCGAAGGCTGTTTTAGCGAGCCCAAAGAGGCAGAGAGTGTGGAAACGAGACTTCAGCATCTGTGCCAAGAGACACGGGAGAGCTGGATCGTCCGCAGGGACCAGGGTGGATAGCTGGCAGCAGAACAGACATCAATGCAAAGTGTAATTTGGCAGGAGGAAAAGTATTGTTGATTGAGAAAGTCAAAGCATCCTATAAGGAAAAAAAGAGGCAGCAGAGGAGTGACAGACGTCTCCTTTCCATTCTTTAGGAGATGGCCTTGTTGATAATCCTAGAACTTTGGTGCTGGAAGAAAGGCAGTTGGAAGAGACCCCCGGAGCTGAGCAGGGGCTGTCTGGGGCAGAGAGCTAACCCGACCGAGCGCAGCTGAGTGGGCAGCGGTGAAGGGTGCGAGTCTAACCCACGCGTGTCCGGAGAGCATCGGCACACGGGTGGCCGCGTCACCCAGCGCCCGGCTGGGAGAGGCT